AGGGAAAGAATGCCTTCTCTTCTTCCCAGCCACATTTTAAGGAAGATGGAGACCATAGAAATGACAGCAGAAGAGAAATGAAGTTCTCAATCTCAGCCTCCCATTCAAGGACTAAATGACTGACGCTAGCTGTCCTCTATTTGGCAGGAGCGTTGTGCCATGTGCCCTACACTACCTGCTACTGCTCCTAGTGATAAATACATTAATGGAATAAAAAAAAAAAAAAAAAAGTCATAGAACAGTTATTCATGTTTAGAGTGCCCATGAAAGTATCCCCTTGAGGTGAAAGACAACCAAACTTCACCTGTATACGCCCTTGGATGTTTGGTAGCAGCCAACTAGCTTCCATATAGTTGGAAGAGTTTTACATTTAGCTTTGGTGTGGAAAAGGCTTAAGAATGTTAACATTTAAGTTGAAATAAACACCTAAGTTGCTTGTTCTACTTGTAGAATTATATTTAAAGAAGCTTAAAGACAGAAGCTTACTGCCTTTGAAACATTATCTAATACTGAAGACTTGATACAGAAAAGCTTCAGAACCGGTTCACCAAACCCATCGTGTCCTTCAGCCATCTGCGTTCGCCCCGCGCCTCTCTGAAGGCTGCCGTTCTAAGCAGAAGGGAACATTTTGCCATTCAGTGTGGTACTCCCTACTACAGATACCAATAAGAAAGTGCTCAGATTTCCTCTAGCAAATGCTTCCCAAGATTAGCATCTGGAGTTATAATAACTAGGTTCATGAAGCATGACGGTAGCTAAGTCGGATTTAGAAGAGAGAAAGTATTAGTTCAGTAGGGCACGTATGTTCATTTTTCCAGGGGGGGGGAGAAAAAAAAAAAGTAACTGCCCAACATGAAAGATAGGTCATTGGTTTAATCCAGCATCTTTGTTAATATTTCACTAGTTTGTAGTATACATGTTTCCTTATGTTTCATTCTTCTAGAATTCTAACCAGTTCCAGAGACTTTTAATAATCTGTTTTCATACTCATCTTTGTTTCAGGTTCCTGGAAGCACATGTATTGTTACAGGTCAGTTGACTAGTCTTTTGACCATCATATCTGGTTTGCAAGACACATCAATTCTGTCATCTCAAAAAGCTTATCCCTCTCTTGAACATGCCATTCCACGCAAATGCATGGCAGAAAGTCCCTCTGCTAGCGCTATTCATCCTGTGCTAGCATCTGACAACTATTATTTAAAGCTTAAATCCTAAAACCACAGTCCTGAATCAGGACGGAGCATCCTACCTACAACAACAAATCAAGTACACAAAAGTTCACGCATCTTAACTATTCCTGCTAATACAGCTGAGTCCTGGCGTGCTACATCTCTGGTGAATTTAAATCAAATTTAGAGTTTGTATGACGTTCCATGCCAACCAAATGCACACAACTTGGCCTCTCCTCCCACTAGGCACCAGCTATCCCAGTACTTCCACATTTAATAGACAGTAAAACCAGCTGCTATCTTTTATACTTCCCAGTCTGAAATGCTGATGTGGTTTATTTTTCCTGAGTTTCTGTAAAATACTCCAGGTCACCTTGATTTCTGTTGCTCCACAGTTTTATTGTTTTTCAGCTTCTGTAGCTATAGTCAAGTAAAATCAAAATAGAATGACCTTTTAATGTTTCCGAATTCTCTACTATTAACTTCCTACCACCTCTACCATTTTGCAATTCCAGGTCTACACAGCAGTACTTCCAACCTGTTACTATTATTACCAGATGGGCTCTAATTTCAGACTTGCTTGCCAGGCTTGGCTCAACATCAATCTGGACTCTACCTTTAACTGTGAAGGGACTTCCTGGCCTACAGTAATACTGAAGGACACCTTTTATAGTCTTAACCTCAATCTAAACCTCAATCAAGTCAAAGAGTAGACAAAGACTACTACACTTTTGACAGCGCACTCGCACTCCACCCACGATTTGCTAACCAAGCCCTTTTTTAACTACTAGCATGGTAACTGATTTGTCACTCAGTCTGGGCTAAGCAAATCAGGTACGGTATTACTTTGCCAATATAAAAAAAAATATATATATAGAACCATTTCTAAAAATCAGGATCTTATCTCCTGTTTTTACAGGTGATATGTTTAGGTCCAGAGCGCCTCTTGAAAAATATCAACGAACGCTAGACCGTCACAGCTAGCTGACCTAGCAGCAAGAAGAGCCCTCACGACAAGGTAACCAGCATTCCCAAAGTTTTCCTCAACCCTTCAAATGCACTCGGACACAGGAACTTCTTTGCTTAAACTTGCACAAAATTCAAATCTTTCTTCCCTGACCACGGAAGATTCTGTAACTACTTCACCAGAGATAAGGCAGGAAAACTGGGGCCTTCACTTCCCCAAGAGTAAAATATACGTCACTTTGGTAAAAAGCTATGCAAAAGAAAGTAGTAGCAGAGTTCAAACAGGTCATGGCACAAATGCCCTCAAACCATTTCAGCTTCCCCATTTTAAATGTTAATCGAAGGAAAAAATTTACATGAAACACTACGCAAAGTCCCATCTGCAGCTATTCCCGTTCACAAAAGGAAGCCTCCTTTCCTGGTATTCCCCGCTCAGTGCCGGATACCACGGCTTTCTAAACTAGCTGGCATCAGCCCCACTAACCAACGCTCATTAACGCAGCTCCGAGTCGTGTCAGGGAATCTGAAAACAGGAAGGCCATGTGCTGACTCAGCACTAATTGGGGCACTCTGTGACTAGCCCGCGCGCACAGCTGATGGGAGCCGCAGCAGTGCACGGCTGCCTGCCCCTCACCGCTTCCTGCCCCACGCCACCTGCAGCACTGAAACAAGAAGTGATGTCACACACAGGAACCCTACAAGAGGCAACCCATTTTTTTCAAGCTAAACACTTAAGAAACAATGGAAGTAATCCAGTAATATCCGTATAGAAGCGCAGAGGAAAGGGGCGGCGCGCGCATCAGGTTCGATTTTGCCATTTCTAGCTCTTTAGACATAACACAGATGCATCCAATCTCATTATTTTTACGTCTGAGTAAGTTAACCAATACATCAGCTGAAAACGATTCTCCTCTCCAATAGGAGTCAAAAGAGAAATCAGTCATGAAAGACCAAGTGAACCACCTAGGTCTTTCAAGAACTACTATTTTTTGTTAATACCCAAAGGAAACAAAAGTTCCATTTCCAAGCGTATTTTTTCCTCTTCCCCTAGTGCCACGGTGAGCAGTCCCACCTTTAATGCAATCAGTTTACAAATGAATTTTATTCTTAGTTCCCACTGCTGCAGCTTTGGGTGTGGTTTCTTCAGGAACAGGAAAAGCTGTTCAAAAGGACAATGAGCATGAAACTGAACTCGAACCAAGGAAAAGGTTAACTTCATGTGGGCGTCTGCCTCAACAGAACTCCACACAAAGATAGCCGCTAAAATGCAGTTGTCCTAAAAGAAAACTAAATATCGGAAATCCCATTCTTCGATCTCAAAGCTATTCATTAGTTATACGACACCGACGGAGGGTTTGCACTCTGTACTTCTGCAATACATACAATCAGAGGATGACCTTCTTGGATACGCTTCAGAGACAAGTTTTCTAGCGTATGCAGAACAGCGAAATAACTCCGGTTCTACCCTTTGGAAACTAGCAGCAGAGGAATAAGACAAAGCCATCGTGGAAATGCAGAGAGGAGTGAGGAAATCTGAAACTCCAGTTTCAAACCTAACCACAGTATCACCACCGCTATCGGTCCTAAACCAGCTGAGAGAAGTCCCACTGTACAGACAGCAAAGCTATCGTTAGCTAACCAACTGCAACATTAAAATATCCAAACCTTAACTCTAAACTACACGATCCATACACCAAGCTACATATCATTAAGCCCAGTTATACTCACGTTGATGTAATAGTCCGGAAGCGCTCCTGTCCAGCTGTGTCCCAGATCTGTAGCTTCACCTTCTCTCCATTGATCTCAACTGTCCGGATTTTAAAATCCACTCCAATTGTGGTTATGTAGCTGCCTGAAGGGAAAGCGTAGGTAAGTGAGAACCTAAGTCTTGTTTGTTTTGGATGTTCCAAAGCACGCTTCTGCATGCTATTTAGCAGTAGCTCTCAGATTGGACAGGAGAACAAGGTTCCCCCTATCTGCTTATCTTTCAAAATGCCCTATCAGGTCATGCTGATCTGCATGTTTTCATCTGCAGCTAATAGCTTCTTTTTTCTAGCCATAAAGCCATTTCTCCCATGCCACCCTTTAAATTTAAAATTCAGTGTTACAAAATAAAATTATTCTTCTGCCGCATTGCTGCTCAAGAGTAAGCACCCAAATATCTCAAGAAATGGACAGTAACTATGCAAGTATTTCATTTGCGAAAATTTTGAGACAAAGCTTTGCTTTACTTGCTTGTGCAATCGCTTATTTTGAACACAGTCTGTTCTAAGAGTTTTCTCCCAATCAATTAGTTATGTCCCAAATGTAAGTTATTTAGCCACAATACTCAATCAATCTAAATGCCCAGTGGCCAATAGGAAGTCTGCACAGAGCACAGCATAAGCTAAAAAACCTAAGCTCTTTCTGGAACCATGGCAGCATTTAAATACTGTGGGACTTTCAGTTGCAAGCGAAGATCAGACCGGACGGCTTGTATAAGCTTATAGCAAGAGCAGCAAAGTTAGAAACAGAATGTATTCCTCGTACAGCTAGCAGTGGGGAAGTGCAGAAGAACAACTCCTTGCCAACCAGCAGCACTGGAGCAGACCTTGACCATTTCAGTTACTGAAGTAAACAAAACACTCACCTGAGAAGGTATTATCTGCAAAACGCAACAGCAAACTGCTCTTGCCCACACCTATGACAAACAAAGACAGCAAGATCTTTGAATACAGTCATCTTGGGCGTCAGGTAACATAACAGTATTTTACCCGTTTGTTGCATTTTTAACTCTAACTAGGATCTTTTCTCAGCCGATAACTTAGTACCATCCACCTTGACTATTCATTTCGGTACTCTCCTTGAAGATCTGATCAAGCACACTGCTGTCACTCCAAGACTTGGTATGCTTCTTGTAGCAGTACAGGTTTGGGGTTTTTTTTGTCTCCTCCTTCCTCCAGCCCTCGGCAAACTCTCCAACAGTAGCTTTTGAACTGTGGTCAGTTCTAAGAGGTCATAAAAGAGTAATAACTAAAAGCAAGTTTACGATCAGTAGACTTACTTTTACTGAGGAAAGATCCAAAAAAGAGTATGTCACGCTAATTAACAAGTACTCAGGACACTGCTCTACACTACTCTACTGAGTTCCACTTGCACATCATTCTTAACACCACTGCCTACCTCCCATTCATTTATGCCGTGCTCAACGGCAGTGGAATTTGGACTACTTAGACAATCAGACTAGGGTTTGCTACTATAAAGCTTATGTTATCATGGCCACAGTTTAACAGAAGCCTAAACCAAACAGGGGAGTTGGGAACCATTGTTCTATACTGCCATCCAAAACAGGCTTGTTCCACACCTAACAGGAAGGACACATACCTTTCTGAAGTTGTACCTTTTGCCAAACTGTTCCATCAAACATTTCTCTAAGTGCTTTGAGCAGCACTTCATCCAGGTTTTCCTTACACGATTGTTTGCGCCCTGATCACACCCTGTTGCAGGGAAGCGTTTTTCACAGTGCTTCAGACAAGAATCGTAAGAAACTCATTCCTGCACAGCCAACCAAGGGAATCTGGGTATCAGAATGCCTCAAAGTTGTTATCTCTGCATAACATCTCTGCTGTTAATGTCCCTTCCCCTCCAGAAAAGAAGTCTGCTATGTCATGAAGAGGAAATTCAGCTTCACCAGGGTGATTATCTATTAAATCTTCTCAGGTAGAAGTTATTTAAACTAATTCTTTAGATGATGTAGAACTTGCAAGTTCTTCTTAATAGAAGACCTGTGCAAAAGGCGTGTGCAAAGAATACAGAACTGCAAGAGTTCTCAGCTGCTGACATCTGAAGATAGCTACCAGCACAAAAAAAAAAAAAAAAAAAAACAAAAAACAAAATTTTGCAAAAAAAAAAAAAAAAAAAAAAAGCACAAAACTCAAAATCTGCATGATTCCAGTAAGCCAGATCTCATTTGCAAAGAGTTCAAATCACCAGACATCTGAAGAAGCCATGCTCACTTCTCATTGAGTATTACAAATCTTAAAAAAAAAAAAAAAAAAAAAAAAAAAAAAAAAAAAAAAAAAAAAAAAAAGAATGCTATTAAAAAATACAAAGTTACAGCGTGCATACACTGAATACCTCTGAGCTCAAAAAAAGGTAGCAGAGCAGTTCCTAAACTTTAGCAGAGGACTGGTTATTTAGCAAGAGCTAAAACCCTGCAAAATACCACCTGACTAAGGTATAAAAAAAGAAAAAAAGGTTTCAGCAAGGACTATGCTTCTTGATCAAGCAGCCTTGGCCTCCAGCTTAATAAAAAGAAAGGAGATGGTGGAACCCACAGCCTTGTCAGACCACACCACCTTCTTAAAACGTCAGTCAGCCCCAGGCTACGCTGCAGAGCTGCATGGGCCGCACAGGACCACCGCTCCGTCAGACTGTCCACTGCTGCACAGCCACGCTCTTGCCGATGCTGCTCCCGGGACTCGGGCAGCTTCTAGAGAAACCTCCTGAACTCAGGAAGGTCTACACGCTCCCGATGACAACCATCTCGCTAAGCAAACGCTGCCTCTGACCTGCACTGGTCACCTATAGAGAAACCACACTCTTCGTGACCGTCCACTTCCTACACAGAGTTATTTCAAGAGCTGAAAAGAGAAGGCTAGCAGGGCCTCTTTGCTTGTTGAAGACAGCAAAATGAAACAAAAAAAAAGGCCTATGGGCTTTGCAAAATCAATATTAAAAGCAAAATTCTGGGCCGTACCAGTTTCTAAACCCCATATCCTACTGAATGGTAGAGTGAATTAAAGAAGCACGAGCGAATTAAAGAAGCACATGCAAAGCACGGATCATCTGTATTATTTTTAAATATTCGGCACAACTGAGATCACCAGCAGCTTCTCAAGATGACCTGTTCTACAAACACACAAACCTAGTACCCTCTTGATGTATTTGCCTACAGGGGAAAGCAGATGAGACATAATCATCCTATCCAGTATCAGTCTACTTCCTACTGCAAGGAATAAACATCAATAAACAAGGCAAGCAAACTGTTTTGTGAAAGCAGGGACAAAGCCTTCCTGTTGGGGTTAGCAAAAACAAAAACAAAAAAGAAAAAAAATCAATACTCAAACTACATAGTGAGATTTAATTACAACAGAGAACCACAGGCAACCCGACAATTCTCACAACGCTTTCTTCCTCTCACTGGATACACTGCAGGGACTCAAGAAGACTCAGCTAAGAAACTTCATTTAATTGTTCCAAATGAGGAGAAGTCCTCCTCAGAGTTTTCACCATCCTGTTTATCTTGCCTGAACAGTTTTGAAACTCATCAGCAAGCAACAGAATTGCTGCTTTACTCAGAATGCAACATTTGGTTTTAATAATCCACAGGCTCCCAAAAGTGCGTAGGGTTTTAAGCTGTTTTGAAGGTGTTGCCCTTTCTCCCTCTTTAGATCCCTTCATGCAGACACAGTTTAGTATAGAATAAAATATTTTTACATACAGCTAAAGCTTCTGGAGGTGACAACTGCCAAGATCATGCAACATTACACCTTCACCCAAGAGCCGTGCCTCGCTGCATGCTGGGACCTGCTGCCTTATGGACCACACCTCTATTAAAAGAAGAGGGTGGATGCCATCTTCTCCAGCTTATGGAAATTAAACTGTAAGCTGTTGGAGCGTTACCAACACTGAACTGGACTGAAGACAGGAATCTTCCCAGTCCCAGTTCTTATGTACCTAGACTAAAGCACCAGACACAGGCTGAGTTTGCACGCCAGCCCTCCAGAAGTTTCTGAAACTGCTGCAGAAGGATTTACAGGTCTATTTTCAAAAATCTGTAACTACCCCTTATCCATAACTATTTTAGGTATTTGCATCCTTTGCTAGAAGTACACAAAGCTACCAGCTCTTCAAGGATTTATTAAAAAAAAGTGACGAACTCTAAAACCGAGACTTCAGGGTGAAGCACGGGAAGAGTCTTAAGGAATAATTAAGATAATAAAGAGTATTAAAACGTAGTAGTTGCCACGCTGGAAACAATGGTCCCTAGGGCTGAGGAGCAGCCAGCCCTTCCCATCGATGCCTTAAACCGCCTGTCACAGGGGAAGGGAATTCCCTCCTCGTCCCAGCAGGAA